AGAATTTAATAATACAGTTTATTTATTTAATAATTTATTAATACTGTAAACCGTGATATTTTCTGAGATGTTATCATACTGTGAAAATCTCATACCATTACAAGCCTACACGGGAGAGTCCCCCACCCCCGCTGTTAAAAAAGTTACTCAGTAATTTTTACTCTGAGTAAATTTTAAATGAGCTACTTTTTACTTTTACTTGAGTAGATTTTTAGACCGGTACTTTTACTTGTACTTAAGTAAAATTTAATTGAAGTAGTAGTACTTTTACTTGAGTAGAATATTTTATTACTCTTTCCACCTCTGTGGGTAGGTTGGGTATGAGTAGGATTAGTGGCTCAAAATATATTTTAATGCTATTGTTAATAAAACTATGAGAGGTTTGCCCATATGGAAAAGGTTTGCTAAAAACACCTGTGATTCTTATATGTTCCAACAGAATATTGTAAGGGACATATATGCTGCAAAATCCACATAATATAAATTGCATAATATTAATGTATTTTTAATCATATATGTCATATACTGTATGTCCTACGTACAAAAGCCATATAGATTTTCTTGATGTAAAAACGTAGGAAAATATTGCTAATTTAATATTCATGTCCAGCATATATCTTAAAGTATTAAAGTAGCCTATTAGCTCACTTTCAAACTCACCCTGATGTCATCCAAGATATCCATGTCTCTCTTTCTTACATTTTTTTCTACACAGAATGGACTTCAATGGCAACCAACTATTCAAATGTTCAAAGAAGTTTCAAAAGTTTCAAATGTATATATTTATTTATTTATTTTTTAGAAAATGACCGATCGTTTCACTAGATAAGACCCTTATTTTTCGACTGGGATCGTGTCGAGACTTTGAAGCTACATTGAGACGGACATTTTAACCTTCTTTGAACATTTGAATATTTGGTCCATTCTGTGTAGAAAAATCCTGGAATGTTTTCCTCAAAAACCTTAATTTATTTTCGACTGAAGAAAGAAAGACATGGATATCTTTGATGACATCAGGGTGAGTAAATTATCAGAATTATTTATTTGAAAGTGAACTAATAAAACACAGTGCAGTTTACCAATCAGTGTAAGGCTGCAGTTCACTCATGCTCTTGCTCTTATCTTGTGGAGCCCTAAGAGGAGCCCTATGCCTAGTCAATCATGGTCATACTGTATAATCAACATTATGAAACACAATATTTAAAACTACACACACACAAGCACACATTTTAATTACACAAATTATTTATTAGAGTGTATTCTACAAGATACAGTTGAATATTTTACATATCAATAGTTTTTTATTTTAAATTCTGCATCACCAGATTTCATTTTCATTTGTGACAATTTCTCTAAACTTTATCACAGTACTAAGATAGTATATATTCTTAACCTAGTACAAACATAAAACTTTCGAAGTGATTCTTATGCATATCACCACCAGAGTTCACATACACAAAAATATATTCCAGCCAATTTTCAACATTTTATTCACTGTTCTAGAAACATATTTGACTCAACTTTGGAAACTTTGCCGCACCCTCTGATCTAAATAACACTGTGATGAGTCACATCCGGGACATTTACGCGCTGAGCGCGACGAAACGGACGAAACGAGCTGAGGCTTTTTTCACAGACGCCATTTTCTTTAATTCGCGATGCAAGGCATACGATGAGGGAAAACGCATGGATTAAGTGTTTTATCGCATTTATATATGCATTTTATAACGTCTTATTGTTTTATAACAATGTGTATGTGCTGTGCACGGCTAAACCGCTCTCAGGGGGGCATTTCCGTTGACGCGCGATGCAGATCAGACCAGGATGGGTTTGCTTTTTAACAGGAAAACGGTGAAAGTAAGTGTTTTATCTAATGTACAATATGCATTTTATAATATATTGATTTATAGCGATATTTAAATGCTTTGCGCGCTTAAACGAGCCGAAACTTTTCTCAAAGGCGACGATCTTCTTTGACTCAATACGGAGCTGACGACGAGGAGGTTTGCTTGTAACGTCAACAGGAAAAACACCGAAAGTAAGTGTTTTTAACCTAATTTACAACATGTATTTCATGGCATTATATTGTTTTGTAACGATATGTGTGATGTGCGCGCCTAAACCTTTCTCACAGACTAGAGCCCCGTTCACACTACATGCGACCAAGCGACGCGATACCATTCATTTCAATGGGGAGCTGGCGATTTCCACTAGGGGCTGGCTGCAGACAACGGGGCGAGTGGAGCTCCATTCAAAAGCGGAAATACGTCACCTCCACTGCGCCGTAGCGCATATATACGTCACCTCCACTGCGACCGAGCGCATATACGTCACCTCTACTGCGACCTTATAGACGAATCCGGCGAAACTACCGGAAGTAATCGGGCGCCATTACTGAGCTGTTGCTGGGTAGCGTTGCGCCATTGCCTCCTATTGTTTTATTTGCAACTTGCCTCCACTGGAATAAACAGCCCGCGATTTACGACTGTCACTAACGTTACAACTTTTATAATGTCGAGTGGGAAAACATGTTGGCATTTTGAAAAATCATCGGATGCCAGGCGAAGGAGAAAATACTCTTGAATACCTTTAAAACAACAGAAGGGGCGCATTGGGGTAGTAACGTTAGTAACAGTACTGTTATGTCTGTTGTTAATGTTTGATTTGCTTGACTGTGACAGATTTTTTTTTTAAATAAATTAAATTAAATATGCATTTTTTGCTATAATAACAATTATTTAATGACATAAGTAAAAAAATATATAATAAATATGTATAGTCCTCAGCAAAATCTCCTCTCTAGCTATTTTTTCTATTCAATTAACATGCTATGGTCATTCAATGGCTTTCCTGAGCTAAATGTAACGTTATAATAATAATAATAATTCATTACATTTATATAGCGCTTTTCTAGGCACTCAAAGCGCTTCACATGGAAGGGGGAATCTCCTCAACCACCACCAATGTGCAGCATCCACTTGGATGATGCGACGGCAGCCATATTGCGCCAGAACGCTCACCACACACCAGCTTATTGGTGGAGAGGAGACAGAGTGATGAAGCCAATCAGTGTATATATATATGGGGATGATTAGGAGGCCATGATGGACAGAGGCCACTGGGCAAATTTGGCCAGGATGCCGGGGTTACACCCCTACTCTTTCGAAAGACATCCTGGGATTTTTAATGACCACAGAGAGTCAGGACCTCGGTTTAACGTCTCATCCGAAGGACGGGTGAATGTGACATACCGGTAATTGTTCTCCTGCTGTTATATTGACCTCTTTCCATGGTTTAAAAACACTAATTGGTCGATATTATGTATACTTTCTAGCTTGTACCTTACCCTTGCCTTTTGCAATGTGAAAATGAGATAAATAATGGACACAAATGAAAAACATGAATTCGTTTATTTGATGTCATTCATTTATTTATTGTTGCCAAATGGACAGATCTTTTTATAATTTCCTCGTTAGCTAACGTTAGCCTAGCTAGCTTGCCAAGCTATTTTCATAAATAATCTGTAAGATCGTTTGTACCTTCATCTGTGACTGGAGGCCACTGTCTAACATCATCAGCCCAACAAGTCATTCTGCCTGGCTGTAGCTGTCACATAGAGCTGTCATCGAGGGTGCGTTATCACCACAGTCTATGGTTATCACGGAGGTTTGTTTACATACCGGTAACAGCTCAGTAATGGCGTCGCCACAAGATGGCAGCCTACACAGAACGCTCGTCGGATTCGTCTATACTGTCTATGGCCTCGTTTACACTGCAGGTCTTGATGCCCAATTCTGATTTGTTGCCTATATCCGATTTTTTTTACCGTCCGTTTACACGTTCTTTAAATTGTGACCCATATCCGAGTCATGTGTTTACACTTAACTGAAACATCGCGCATGTTTAAAGGGGTCGTCTTGCTCAGATGGACAAAGCGCAGTGAGATCTCAGGACAGGTGGGAACATACAACATCATCTTATAAAAGTGAGTAGCCTATCTATAGCACAAATTTTATTTATCATGCCATTTATAGCCTACGCCAAAAATAGTTTTTGCTTGCATATGATACGCACTGTAAACGTGCGTATTAAACGCCATAAAGCTATATTTTTGGCGTAAATGCCACGTGAAAAAATCGTGGCGGGCTTTAACGAGGAGCAGTGGGTCCGAAATTTTAGGATGAGCAAGCCAACGTTTGATATGTTGTGTCAACGTGTGTCCACATTCCTCTCCTACGACGACACAATGTTTCATCGGGCCATCCGTCCATCCGCAGATGCGCGTCTGGGTTTCTCTCGTCATTAAACCGCGGAGACGCAGCCTAATGCCTCGGAAAATCCGATCTGCCTGTTTACATGACAGTCGCATTGGCACATATCCGATTTACATCTGATTTATTTCCACATATGAACGAGGCCTGAAACCGATCTCGAAATATCCGAATGCATGCGTTTTTTTCCTGTTTACACTGTCATAGAACACATCCGATCTGTGTCGCATACGAGTAAAAAATCGGAATTGGGTCACATTTCACTGACAGTGTAAACGAGGCCATATGACTGCGACGAGCGCATATATATGCATATATATATATATATATATATATATTTATTTAACCGAGCGCATATATACGTGACCTCACCTAATCTTCACACACAATATCAAAGCAGTATACTAAACTTTTACGGTTTATGACTTTTAAATATAATATTATGGTAAAAATAATTTCAGAATTTTCTATTTAAAGCTAAATAACATGTACAAATCAACCAATGTAAAATAATGAAGAATAATTTCCACAATTTAGGTTTTAATTGTTTTTATGTAAAAAAAAATAATAATAATAATCTTAAATTTTTACAACACAATAACTGCAAGGGACCATACTGTAAAAAAAATACAAATATGAAAAAAAAAAATTAGAATTTTGTATTTAAAGCAAAATAACCACAGTAAAATAATGAAGAATAATTTCCAGTTAATTGAATTGTTTAAAAAAAATATATATATATATATTGACAACACACTTGAATTACATAAAAGTGACCAAAATTGTTACATCAAAGACACACTGCGCGCACACACACTTCACTGTTCAAGACCTCCATCATCCAAAAAGCAATCCCAGCTACAGTAGCCAGGGTTGTCATCTGAGGAGTAAAACCCCAAAAGCACTCCCCGTTGTCCATTTCCCTGGTAGCCAGCCCCACAGTCTTTGTAAAGCTGGCTGCATTGTAGGCCCCTGCACATAGAGATGGTGTACGGCTTTCTGTACATTTGACGGTGTCTCTCTGAAAGTCTTTTCCAATTCACTACACCTGTTCAATTTCAAAACACAATGAAAGTCACAATTCAGTTTCATGTTAGGGAAATGGAAGAGGGTGATATTAATCTAGCCTAATTGTTATACCCACAAAAAAAACACGATGGGGCAACCACACTTATTGAACTCACTATCAAGCCAGCTGAAGTGTGCCTCCTGCTGAAAATGCTCCTGGCTGACAATGTTGTTTAATCTCTGGCATGTCAGAGCCAGCCTCGGGATTGCAGAGCAGCAGTCTTGTAGAACGACAAAGACAAGGATCCTCTGGAGAATGTCATCGGGCAACTGTAGATATGAAACAAGATTTAATATAGAGTCATTGCAAGCCATTTCATCAACATTAAAGTGATTATGAACACATACCTGCAAAATGTCAGTGGCCAAAGCCCCATCATGTGAAACCCTTAACATCTTTGCTGGGATCGTAGGTACCTTTTAAAAAAAAAAAAAAGGAAAACAAAGAAAAACACAGTTTAAGAAAAAGCTGCATATTACATAATACATGCTACTTTCAATACTTTTTACTGAAATATTACCAAAGTGCTGTATCTCCTTTTCCTAAGGACACGAAAAACAGGCGGCAGACTTCCATCCCCCATCTTCCTGCCTTCCTGTGTAAAATGCGCAAATCTTCGACCATGTCTGTAATTGACATTGACCAAATATGTTCATCATGCTTTCCCACTTTGACAGTACTATCTATTAATGTACTACTTTTCATTTCACAAACCATACCCCTCAATCTCAAGGTTCTCGAGCAAAACCTTGCACCACCAACTCCTCAGATATGGCATGTCAGACTGAAGATAAGAACAGTTGTAATGTGATTCACCACAATTAACATTAAACATCTTTGTCAACACCAAGACTGCACTTACAGTGGTGAAATCAAAGGCTGCCTCCACAGTTATGTACCAGGTATATTGTAAAGGCAGAAAGGCTATTATGTTGGCTGATGGAGTGGCGCGAGGCGGGTAAGGCTCGGCTGATGGAGTGGCACGAGGCGGGTAAGGCTGCATAGACTGTGAGGTCAGCATTATAACATAAGACCAAATGCCTTTCCATGTCCACTCTTCTTATAACTGTCCTTGAACAGTGGGGGCAGTGGTAATGCCCCACAGTACGGCATGGTAATCTGCATCTATTTAAAATTTGCCCTGAAACAAAAAGGTAAAAAAAAAAAAAAAAAAATAGGACAAATAGAAACGTGTAAAAAGCCTTCGACTTTTAGGCTGGCAACATACCTTCAAAATGTAAAGGTTGCTGCATCCTTCAAGCTAATGAAAGTCGCCTAGCTCTGAAAGTGAGTGAAAAAACGAGAATGAAAACAGTCGGGGAAGTACCTGTGGGAGAAGAAAAAAAAACGTTTTAACTGAAAATGCATAACGTTAAATTCTCTTCACATTTACACTTCTCAATACAATCAAACAATCACCAATAAACAGAATTAAACAATAAATACAAACGTACCTGCCACACACCAACACTAAAATGGTATCTATGTGGTCTCGGGCCATTAAATAATGCTCAAAATGGAGATTTGCGTTCGTGCATCTCTTAACTAAAAAAATGTCAAACATTTAAATTAACAAGCAATCAATATAATACTCACATCTGCACACTCTACAAACATTATATTTTAAAAAATCATTAGAATTAATACCTGAATAGAAGGGGAGAAAATCGCTGATGTTTCCCCACAGCGAAGTATGGAATGTAAAAAACCCCGCGAATTTACTCCGCCCCGCCCCCGCGAAGTGGAGGTGACGTATTTCCTGTTTGAGAGTGGAGCTCCAATCGCCCACAGTCTGCAGCCAGACCCTTCTCGCGATTTCCGGCGACAAGCGCGACAGCGACCGTTGGCGACCGGATGGGGCGTGTCTGGCGACGCGACAAAGTTGAGATCTGTTTAACTTTATGCAAATGAGGAGCGACTTTCGGGAGCGACAACCAATAGGATCGGAGCGCGTATGATCCTTCTCCACATCATTGGATGTCATTCATAAAGGCAACCAGTAGTGGGAACTCCCACTAGCGACCTCATCGCCAGCCACTGGCGACATGCAGCGACAAAGTCGCTTGTAGTGTGAACGGGGCTAGGCTAGGACTTTTGTCGAGTTGATGTCAATAGTCACTATGTGAAAAAATCCAGTAAAATGCGCCGTCGCGTTTGTCGACCCCAGAGGATTAACTTGAGCCTAACCAAAAATTGTGATTAAAACATGCTCGCTCACATCAAGACGCGACTGCGGTGGTGGAGTCCATGCAGGAGGAGCAGCGTTTGGCACTGCGTCGCTTTTCAGCGCCAGCTGTGTGGAGAAGCCCATTTCCACCTCTACTGCATTACCATCCTGACCACTGTACTAAATACAGATAAATCTAACGTTACGCTAATTTGAAGCTATCCTAACTGATGCAATACTATACTACTAACTAACTATGCTTCTAACAATACTACACTAACAACTATGCTAATTAACTACATAGGCTACACGAAATAATCTAAATAACTATATAAATGCTATGCTAAATAGATGCTAAAACACTCTATCCTGATTGTTTTAAATACTCGCAATTCCAACTCCTGACTCACAGTGGTTTTGACGAAACAAGATGGTTTTTATACTGCCAAGGGCATGGTAGCTCGTACCAAGGGCGTGGTGAGCTGGAACCTGCTTACGTCACCAACAACCGCTTGCGTCACGAACCACCGCAAACATCCAATAGGAAAATTAAATTGCAGTAGCCACCGTTCAACCTGAAGAGGGCAGGACTCAGACGTTTTTATACCATATATTGTAGAATTAAAACACTTTATATCCAAATCTCAAAAAAGTTACTCGAATCAATGAACAGCATTTATGAAGCTGCATTCTTACAGATCATTAACTAAAAAAAGTTGGTTTAGGGTTTAGTTACCCTTTAAAGGGTTAGTTCACCCAAAATGGAAATTAATTACTCACCCTCATGTCGTTCCAAACATGTAAGAATTTCTTTCATCTTCACAACACAAATGAAGATATTTTTAATGAAATCTGAGAGCTTCCTGCCCCTCCATTGACAGTCTGTGCAACTACCCCTTTCAAGCCCCAGAAAGGTATAAAGGTACATCATTATGCTGCGTTCACACCAGACGCGAATAGCTCATCAAATTCGCGCCTACCGCATCTAGTTATACGCTTGATGATTGATGTTAGATGTTTGAACTTTTTCCAACATAAACTTGCTGTATTTATAAAACACAAATTGTATTAATTGTAATCGGTCTGGTTTTGTGTTGTGTTGTCTAGAGAACCAGCACTCCAGGATTTTTCGAGAAAGTTGGATCTGCGCAGCCATTCCTGCTCTATGAAACTCTACTGTTAGCAACTGGACACAACTGATCCACTCGTATCCTGCAACTGATCCACTCATATCCTGCAACTGTTTTTCATCTGCTGAATGTTGTTGACTCAAGCACTGCTGTACTGTTGCAGAGTCGAAGGTACTGAATCAACTTCACTGACACAGGACTTACATTCACTGACATGTTCAGGATTTGAAGTATTACAGACCATTTGATAAGCAGCGTTCATATAATTCTGATGACAGAAATGCCTATAGTGTGCATTCATTGTTTATTTTAAAGGTTAACCTATGATGTAAAGGGGCTTGTTCGTTAATAAAATAAATAGTTTGTTAAAACAACTGTTTGCATTTTGCCTTTATTTTTTACTTTACAATGAACAGAATTCTGCTATAATCCCAGACTAAGGTTATTATTTAACTTTCTGGATTGTTTTGAAATAAAGTTTTGAAAGAGTAATGTAGAGTGATGTGTTTATTTCAAAGTGAATTTATTCTTTTCAGATTAAATGATTTGTCAGTTTATTTTACAGTTCTTTAAAGTAGGTAATGCAGAACCCTAATAAGAAAAACTGGTAACTCCTTTAGTGTTGTTTTTCTTTGTAAAAAGGTGTTCAACACCAGGATGGTGTAATACTCGACTCCTAAGGCTGAGAAGAATTCCATGATGAATGATTTTCATCTTCTTTTAAAGTGTTAGGTCGACACCAGAACAGTGTAGAATTGTAACTCTGCCAGTGTTTGCCACAAAGCTGCACCCAGCTCTGTAACAGTGTTGTTGTTCTCTGCATTGGTGGTCATATTTTACTCTTAGTGTTCATATTGTAACACTGTGTCAGTGTTGCGAGAGGAAACACTTTTGAAAGTGTTGAGATTTCCAGATTTAAAATTTACTGTCCAAATCCTGAAGTAAAATGACCAGTCCTCATAAAGGTTAGAGATATTTTGACACTACATCCTCCAACCAGCTTCTGCACTGTACAATTTCCAAATTTGCAAACTTCATATAAGTGATGTTGGTCATCTAAACATGAAATCTGTATGACACACTTTATATAACACGTATAAAAAAATGACACAAAATCTGTATAAATCCTATAGGACTTTAATTTGACTAGCATATGATTCAATATAAGAACTTTAAATGATTTGTATATGAATGTAAGTTATTTTCTACTAATACCATATACGATTGCATATGTTTGTCATGTAAAACTCATATGATTCAATATAAGAACTTTAAATGATTTGTATATGAATATCGGGTGTTTTCTACTAATACCATACACCATTGCATACTTTTGTCATGTACAACTCATATAAGACTTTTTACAGTATTCATATATGACGCAAAAATCCCCTATAAGTTGTATGTGTGCTATTTAGTATGAAAGGGGCCATAATCGGTCTGATTTTGTATAGGACATGTATTGGTCTTACATGAAACACGTAAGGTAATTCTGTCCAATTTAAGTAAGGAAGATATATGGTTGCTGTATATGAACCATGCAGGTTTTTTTCATATGGGGAGGTCGCCCTTATTTTCTTTATTTTCCGTTTTCTCTTGTTTACTGTCAGTCAGGGAGTAAGGGAAGGCTGTTGTATTTTCTTTGGGATCTTTCTTTTGCTAGGTAAGTTATATTTAATTCTCTTTTAGTAAGGACCCCTTTTGTTTGTTGGTTTGGCCAGGACCCATCCTGAAGATTCTCGCTTCCTGCTTTTCTTATTTCTGTGAAAATAAAGAAGTTTTTTTGAAATCTTGTTCTGTGGTACTTGTGTGTGTGAGCTGGGACAGGAGAAGGGATAAAATAATAAAATTGTTGTTTTTGTCATTGGCGCTCCTCACCCTAGACGGGGAGGTCGTGACATATTCAACCTGAAGAGTTCCATTAATGTTGTTTTAATTATAGGCGCTTGTTGCTGGTAAACATTCTACACTTTGAAAAGTTTGCCAATTCAGACTAGTTAAAAGCCTAAATTATACAGCAGACTTTTTAAAAGTAGGCTAAATAAGGATGTTGTCGGATGTTTCTCTTTAGATGACATACTCAGCAGTCCTGTAAACAGCACCACCTCGGAATATCAACATTTCAAATTTAAGGTGTTTTTAGTAACTAATGCCTGTGTCGAAATTCAGTTGAGTTAATGTGTCACACCACCAATCATCGAGGTGAGCCCTCGTTTGCTGCCAGACAAATATCACCGGATCAACTTCCATTACGTGTAAAGAGGCGTGATCTAACAGACGTCCCTCAGATGCAACACCCACAAAGATCTGGCTGCATGAGACTGTATTGGATAAAAATAGTAGTATGTTATTCCAAACATATCTTAACTGACTTCATGATCCACTCTTTAATAAAAGATAGATGGAGGAAACAAAATGCCTGACCATTAGAGAGGATCCAAAAAAAAAAAAAGTAGAAGTAACTGTCCAGTAGAGGTCGCTAATTGACCAACAATATGGCAGAAAACAAACTCACCAAGCAGTTCCCTTTCAAGGGAACTTCGAGCTGCATCAAACGCTGCGGGAACGCCCCTGCGTTGTGCGTCATGAAGCACGTATGGAATCAGCCCAATGGAGAGATGAAACGTCATAGGCGGGTGACGTCATCGACCAGGAAACTATAAAGCACCCCAAAAACACAAGCGCATTAGCTTCTGTGCTTTCAGTCGCGCTACATGTGAATCT